TTCTTAAGGAGCTTTGCATGCGCCTCTGAAGAGATTTTACAAATGGGTAATGCGCCTCGTCAATTTATCATAAACCATCTGAAATTAATGTCAGCATACACCTGTATTATATTGTGTGATTAAAAAAAATTGTATCATTTACTATGTAATTTTTTATTAGTCGCTTACTATGTTTTAAAGCTATTAAGTATATTTGTACATATTGAAATATCGTTTAAACCACAAAATCAATTTAAAAATTATTGTGTTCAAATTTTGTACTGGACAGTATTATAAGACATCAAACTCAATAATTTATTTTTATAAGATATTGGTGTTTATTATACCTGGTATATTTGTTTAGTATTTATATGTGTGTATACTGTATTGTAAACTTTAAAGTGTACCATACCTATTGATTTTTACTATACTATATTTTTTTGTAATTGATTTTTATTTGACAATTTAAAAAAATAGGTATACATTCTAAAGATATACTAAAATGTTACTATAGTGGGTTATAGTTTATTTAAAACAAAATCATGAATAATTGTAATAACTAGTTTTTCTTATTATTCAAGTTTAGTCTTATTATTATAAGTTATCTAACCGACCTTATAATTATAGTACCTATACTACGAAAACACTTACCAATATGCCTACATATTAAGTGTATACTAAAGAGTAATGAGTAATGTTTATACCATATACTTAAAAAAAATAATCATAAATCAATTAACAAACATGAAAGAATTAAAAAATAAAATTACATTTTCAAATACAAAAAATATTTTGGTTATAATAACCAATTTCACTGAAAAAATAGGTAAGAGTAAGTTAATTAAGGACCAAGGTATACCTTCAGTTAGAAAAAAATTTCGGTTTTCAAACGAATAGCCCCGCCTAGAGATCCTATTTTTACATCAGCTTACAAGATGGTTACAAGATGGTGTTCCGGCCCATAACTGCCGGCAGGTTCAGGACTATTTAAACAACATTTACGGAGGTAATTATCATTATCATCATATTTTGTTTGATTGCTACTTATAAAAATTTTAATAATATACATATAATATTTAAAGTTACCCAATTTTCTTCTCATTTATATTCATATAGGTATTCATTTGCATTAACCCAATATGTTATGAATAAATTTATACAAATAAGTATTACATTTAATTTAAATTGTATTTTTAAGATAACTAGATGGGTACCCTGACACCAGAAAATTCAATAGCCAGCACGTAGTCCAGACATGACACCTTTGGATTTTTTTTGGGGGGGATTTGTGAAGAATGCTGTTTATGATATTATAATGCCATCCAGTAAAAATGAGCTGATAAAAAAAATTACAGAAGTCTGTTCAAATATACCAGCTGATATTATGAAAAAATTTACAACTGAAAATGTCTTAAAACGTATTACATTTTGTATGTCACAAAATGGTCAACATTTTGAACACATATTAAAAACAAAAAATAAATAAACCAAGAATTTTATGTAGTTGTTGGATCTTCATACATTTTTTCTTTCAAATCCTTATTAATCAATGGTCTTGGACTCTTGGGATTTAGATTTGATTGTTAATCAAATAATATCACTACATTAATTTGATATTAGTTTTGTACAATAAAAAAAAAAGTTATAAGATTTTCAAATAGTGTAACTGTAAAACACGACAATATTATTTAAGATAATTGATAGGACTATCTTAAATCGTGACAATAAAACTGTGCATTATTATCACCTAAATATGGGTATTTATTATTTACTTTCGGCATAATATTATAATCATATTACCAGTAGGGTTGCCACCTCTCCGGGTTTCACCCGGAGAATCCGGGTTTACGTATAAATCTACGGGCTCTGGGTTCAGTAAATTATTCTCCGGGTCAGAGATAAAGATAAGATGACACACGATTTTTTATTATTATGCCTTTTTTTTTTATTAGTTTCCAGTATAAAAACCATTTATTCAAGATAACAAGAATAATAAGATTATGAACTACGGTTTATGACTTTATGAGTCTACGATTAGGATTTTACGAATCAGTTTCAACATCACAGTCAAGTGTGTTTGATCGAATCCGAATATCTGCTTTTAATTTTTGTGTCAGTGCAACCGTGCATCGATATTATAAAACTACACAGAATTTGAAAAGTAATTCACATTTATGACTAAACGACCTTTTTTTTTTTTGCTTATCGGCCTCTCTCTGGGGCTGCTTTCTTTCAAAAGTGGCAACACTAATTACCAGTCACGGACTTATCAAGGTATACCTTAGTCATTAGTGGTAATAAGATATAACCGGATATAACTATGTGGTGATACCGTTTTAATTTTTAAATAATTATCCGTGAAATTGTGATTAAAATAAATTTGTCATAATATATTTCCAGTTTTTCATTTATCATTCTTTGGTAATTCGGTATGTCAAAGGGCGTCGCCCGATTGCGGCCCAAAGTAAACTGTTTACCTTTTCACCTATCCCGATTGCGGCCCGTCCATAATAGGTAGGAAATATTAATTTAAGTGGTTATCAAAACTAAATAAATATCCCGATTGCGTCCGATACGTATATTGACATAAATATAACTATCGTATATCTAATCTATTGTTTGTACTCCTCGGGAAACAACTAAACAAATTAATAAAAAAAAATTCATACTAACCCAAATTACAAAATTAAAAAACTTGGAAACATCTAATTTTGATTGTGTAAAAATAAAACATTTTTAAAAATCAGCCTCCAACACTATAATTATTTTTCTATTCATTGACATATTATTTGTATTTCACGTACTTTTTTATTGTAAACAATTTATTATTTTAATATTTGACTAGGTACCTATTTATTGACAACTTAATTATATTTCATGTCTTTTTTTTATTGTAAACAATTTATTATTTTAATATTTGACTATTTGTATACATATATACTTTTAAAATTGTATACAAATACATCCATTCAGGAAGTATTTAAAATACAAAATATACTTACCATGTATTTAAATAAATTTTATACTTTATACTTGTTTCATAATAATTTTGAAATACTTTATTATTTGGTGATTAAACATATTATTATATATATATTAATTATAAGGTATTTTGTGAACCAATGTGTCTTTGGACGCAATCGGGATAATTATATTTGGGATAAAATACGACTACCTGAATTCGGGCCGCAATCGGGCAACTCCGATGTCCAACTAGTCGATAAGTTAATAAATGATTTGGGTTCAAAGTACAATGGTAATCTATAATTAATTGTTATTTATTTTGTCACCTTGGGTTCAACGATATTAAATTTATGATTAGCTCCTGGTCTTTACAATTATTGAAAACATTTTGAAAACCACCAATATTTTGAGGAGCTGTATCTCGCAAACGAATCATCGAAAAATAAAAATGTTAAAGCGTAAATTCACAATAAAAATGAGATTATTAATCCATGGTATTTTTATTATATGTTACCATTTTAAAATCAAAAGTTGATAGTGGTTTCACTAATAAATATAAGGGTGAACAAAATTAAAGTATTATACGGTTTTAGAAAAACATAAACCTAGAAGTTTAAAAAAAAAAAGAAATTAAAAAAAAGTAAATACTTTTCGAGATAATTAGTGTACCCACTTAAATGGATCACCCTGTAGATTATCAATGGACCCTATATATCGAGTTATAAATATGTAAGTTAAACTGTTGCTATAAAACACGGGCTTAATCGGTAAAAATTTAATTAGTCTATATTTTAAAATAATTTTTAGACGATACATATTATTATGAGTCATATAATAGTATGCTTGGCCCCAAATGCAAATTCCACGATATGAGATTTAACGAGAGACAAGACGTATAGCACAATATTATTACGTTTAATATAACAATATGTGTTGGTAACCTTAAATTTAATTATATTTTGTCGAGGTCGGACATTTAATAAAAAAAAAAACACGAATAATGATCACGTTCGGACGTTTTCGTCACTGCGATTCGAACTCAACGACGAGACAATAATAATATCATCATAACTATAATAGGTACGTCATTATGCCAATAGAATAATTTACAATATGTACCTACCCATGACAAATTATACAGGTATGTCAGCAATATTACGGATTTAGAAACAAATTGCGCACCCACCCTCCGCCCAGCCCTTTTCTGTGAAGTAAGCATTTCTCCGGTTCTCATTGGTTCACCGCCGTCACTGCCGCACAACCTGTTGGAAAAATGCTTACGTCACAGACATGCGTATCACGAGTTGCTGACATACCTATTTATTTTGTCATGTACTTACCTACCTACCCATACATTTTAATTAGGTATTGAATTTAATATAGTTAGGTACCTACCGATTTCTTTCTAAATGTGACTTTAATTTTTCAAGCGTGTGTTACAAATGTTATACCCAAGCGTTAATGTACAACTCTCACCTCCGCTTTGGTTTTAACGATAATAATATTTCGGTTTCGAGTAATATTGTCGCAATCGGAAATTGATTCAATACACAAATAACGTTGACGTTCGGACGTCTTCGTCACTGCGATTCCGACTCAACGACGAGACAACAACAGGTAGGTACATAATCGTCGTCGTCGTGTATCGATAATCGAACAATGCAATAAAAGTAGGTAGGCACCGTAAAAATATAATAATAATATAATCGAAAGCGTTACCCTGCTTCGTTGACTACTTTAGTACTCGCGGGTCGTCGACAGCTGCTGAACTCCTCTCGAGACGCACGACGCGCGCCGTTATGAATGGGACGCCACCGAACGGAAACACTTACGACGATAATAATATTATTGTTGTTGGGACGAAATTTTCTCGGCAGCGGCGGTGGAACGCAGTGTTCGCGAAAACGAATAGAACGCGACGGTAGTCGACCCGAGGAAAACGCGGACGGTTTGACTAAGAGTAAAAACAATATGCACTTACCGCTCTGACGCGACGGATCCGTGGTACTTCGCGAACGCCGGAACAGAAATGCCGTTTATTTTTTTTCCCGACAACTATGTCGAGTCTGTCGGCAATGGCCGACCGGGTACAACACTACGAAAAGGGCTGCCAATCTTGCCGTCCCCGCAGCCACTGCAGCTGCTGTTGTCTGCCACCTCCGCCGCATCAAATTGTGGTTGGCAACGTCTGCAGCCGCGACGGACGCCGGCAGCACTGCTCTCGCAAACGGCCAGCGTCACTACGGACAATAGACGCCGCCGCCGCCACGTATGCCAGCGACCCTGCCACTCGCGGCGACTAACGACGTTTCACGCCTACCAACATTATGCTCAAAGCGTCTTATCCTCCGACTAGAGCACTATAGATGTAGGTATTCTCATCCGCCATTTTGGTTCCATTTTGGTCAGACCACCGGTCCGCGCCCGACAACTCGACCGCCGGGCGCGCCTGGAACCAAAATGGCGAATGAGAATACTCATACTTATAGTGCCTTACTCCGACCATAACGGCAATTTAATATTATGATATTGAAGCCAAGTCGTATACTTGTAAATACGCTATACGACAGTACAGGACATGGCATAATATTATAAAACTGGCAAACTATATTTTCTTATCAAAATATCATTACAATATTATTGACTGCGCCCCGAGGGCCGAGATATCATAACAGTTGCCTATTTTACTCCTTACGATTGACATGAACAAAATATAGACAAATTAATAATATTATAATATACCTACAGTATTATAACAAATTTTAATACAGAGTGTAGTGTATTATCGTATATTATAGTAATTGCTATTATCATAGTATACAATATAGATAGCCAACGCTATTGCAATCATTTTATGCTATTATTTTTTAAATGCTATGACCAGGGCCTAAAATAATTAAGATATTTTACTACTGCACCCTAATTCCACACCAAAATATTCAAAATAGTGAACATATAGACCTAGTAGTGCACATGCCACATATAACCAGTGTTTTAAAAAATACTTTTTAAAAGTATTTAAGTAATTACTCAAACACTCTTAAAATAAAGTCCACCCAAATAAAGTATTTGAGTCAAATACTTTTCAGAAGTATTTGAAATTCTACAAATACAAAAAAAAAATATCTTTTTACTTTTTAGTGCTGAAATAATTTGTAATAATCAAAAAATTTTTTATTGCATTTTAAAAACATGATTTGTTCAACAATCCAAATTTTGATCAGTCATGTTATAGTTGCACCACAACAATGAACTTTTCTCTACAAAGTTATATATTAATTCAAAAGTATAATATGTATTTGGATATCTCCATAGATATATATTATTAAACTAGATAGCCGACTCGTTTCAATTATTGAAGTCTGGCCGCCCCATATGCAGATAGGGCAATATTAACATTTTGTTATCATTATCAATTACTGTGATAAGTAACTGATCAAAAAAATAGAAATTCAAAGTTCAAACATATTTCTTTTTAGCCATGTCATGTTTTTAGCATTGCTTATTAATAATTAATATTTATTATTGAATAACACTCAAGTGACCAGAACAAATACTGAGTGCTCACTTCCAGTAGGCAGTAGTGTATAATGTATATATTGGCCTGTGAAAATGTAGTACTTGCACTACCAGAAAACTGTGAACATTTGCTAGGTAGCAACTAAAATTTTCATTTTATAATCTGAATATGTACACTTAGTATAATGTACATTGCGAGTAACATTTGTTTAGCGCTGCACATACAAAGAAATCAGGTTAAATTCCTTGAATCCCCAGCAAACATACATAGTCTACGTGATGTCTATGATAAATCTATACGTCTATGTATACGTCTATAACGTCTACGATCTCTTGTATACTAATTATAGAATGTCTATATTAATATGCAATTTTTGCATCTTTGGTTACATCTATATTTGATAAATATTTATAGATACACGTAGATGTATCATAGATATCAGTACCTAATTGAATCATTTTATACGCTTGTTTAAATATATATAATATATATTTATATATACAAGTAAATTTATGTTATACGTCTTTTATTATTAGTTCGTGTCAAAAATTATACTTGCAAACATATAGTTTAAACATATTATATATACCTACTATATATATATAGTTGTAAAAATAAATTATATAATTTCCGAATTTTTTATTTTATTTTTTTTTTTTTTTTTTTTTTATTTAAATAGTTTTTCTTTAAATGTACAATTTATAGTATAAATAAAGAAAATATATCTACTCCTTTAAGCCTAAGCTTGTGATGGAGTAGAGAGTTAACAATAGTTATAGAATAATAATAGTAGTAATAAAGAAATAATAATATAAAGTAATTTAAAAAAGCAACATTAGATAAGATAAAATAAACAAAAATTAAAAATTTTGGATAGGTACATCCTTTCTCAAAAGAAAACAAAATTCCTTAATAAGTATATAAAAATAAAATAAGAATAAGAATACAGAGTTAGTCGACAAACTATTTTGATCATAATAGACAGACCAGTTCACAATACAATACAATTCAATAATATATAGGATACACAAATGACATCATAATATATGAAATATAAGAGAGAAACGTGGCACGATTCAAATTTCGTTATTTAAAATTAGTACTTAATCTTATACATTTAATTTTTAATAAACAAACCAGGAAAAAAAATAAAAATAAAAATAAAAATCATATTCACTGAAATCAACTGAAATGCGAACTCTTATTCAAGGAGTAATTAATTCTGAGAATAGCCATTTATAGACGACTTTTTTCTCATTAACTAGACCTCCATGAATATTTTTTTTGTGTATAGTCGGCATCTGATTAAAATATGTAGGACCTAAATAATCAATAAAAGATTGACCAAAAGATTTTTTCGAATATGTTACTGGCAGATTATAGGCTATATGATCTCTTAATTGTCTGTTATTATTATTGAGATTAGTAAATTTTTTTATTGTAAATAAAATTGCATACTTCTTGTATAGGTACCTTATTGGAAGAACGCCTAATTTAATGTAATTCACTTTTGTAGAGCCTACTAGAGATTTTCTATTTAGTATTATTCTTAATATATTATTTTGATTGGTTTGAAGAATTTTTAAAACATTTTCTTTTGCACCTCCCCATACCAAAATGCCATATTGACAGATGGATTGATAGAATGCAAAATAAATTGTACGTAAAGTTTCTACTGGTAAGATCTCTTTAAGTAGAATGAATTTGTGCAGTGAGTATCGCAGTTTCCCTACTAAATTATGGATATGTAAGTTCCACCTCAAATTATTGTCGAAAATAATACCCAGATAGCGAATTTTTGAAACTTGATTAATTTGCTTACAGTTTTGCATATTGCATATCAATTGATTTTGGCAATTGTGAATTATTAGAGGAAGGTTGTCATCGGTAATCTTATTTATTGAAAACTTCATGTACGTAGTTTTGTCCGAGTTTATAGTTAAGCCTAGTTCACTTATGCATTCGTATGTTAAATGTAGACCTTTCGTTGCTTTGAGGTACACCCCTTCCCAGCATTTATCCGAGAATAACAGACAGGTATCATCTGCGTAGGTCACTATTTTGCCATCAATGTTTAAATCACAAACTGCATTAATGTATAGTATGAACAAAATGGGACCTAGAACACTACCCTGTGGGACACCATATTCGATATAGTTTGTGTTGCTTATTGCATCATTTATTTTCACCATTTGTTGTCTGTTAGAAAGGTAGCTCTTAAACCAGAGGAGACTTTTATTATTAATTCCAAAATTTGGTAGAATTCTTAATAAGATATCATGTTGAATAGTATCGAAGGCCTTTGCTAAGTCAATGAAAATGGCAATTGTTTTTAAACCTTTATCTAGAGAGTCATACATAAATTGAGTGGCATTATATAAGGCATTTTCAGTGCTTAGTCCTGGTCGAAAACCGTATTGGCTTTTAGATAATAAATTGTTTTTCTCAAGGTAAGATAACAGCCTTGTTTTAATTATTTTCTCAAATATTTTGGAGAAATTTGTTAACATAGATATAGGTCTGTAGTTACTTATAGTTTTACGGTCGCCGCTCTTGAATAGAGGCTTAATAATTGCAAATTTAAACTTATCAGGGAAAATACTATTTTCTAGACTCAAATTGAAAATATAGACTAGTGGAGTAATAATTAATTCAGAAATACTTTTAAAAATTTTAACTGTTATATTATCATAACCGGCAGAAGTGTCATCTTTAAAGTTTTGAATAATTATTCTTAATTCTGATACATCAATTTTTTCTAGAAAAATCTTATCAAAGGAACATAATATATTATCGTTGGATTTATTTAATACCAGATTGTGAGTTTTATTGAAGTTTTTTGCTAAATTTTTACCAACGTCTGTAAAATAGTTATTAAACACATTTGACACTTCTTTAGGATTATCATCTATATTCAATATTTTGTCGTTCACTATAACAGATTTGATTTTATCATTTTTTGGATTGCTACCCGTGATCTCATTGATTAGTTTCCAGGTTAATTTTGGGTTATACGACACTTTGCTAAATTTGTCTTCATAAAATTTAATTTTGGCAACCCTCAAAAGTTTAGTGAATGTATTTTTATATTTTTTATAGTATGACGCAAGACTTACATTATTTGGGTTTTTTTTGCACTTCATTGAAATATATTGTTTGTGACGAACTGAGCATAACAGACCCTTGGTCATCCATTCTTTCAATCTTTTATTTTTAGAGTTTATGTTTTTTGTTGTTAAGGATTTTTTTATGGCATTCATAATTGTATTTTGGAAATTTGTTGTGCATACATCTACAGAGTTAGATTCATATATCTTAGTCCATTTTTCATTATACAACATTTGTTTAAGTTTATCATAGTTTATGACATTGATAGTAATGTTAATGTTTTTAATTTTAACAGGTATAGGAATTGTAACAACAATTGAACAATGGTCAGTTATATCAGTTAGTAGAACACCCGCGTTAATATTCCCGAGTGAATTATTATTGTCTTTAATGAACACGTGATCTAAACACGAATGTTGTTGACCTAGTGGTAATCTTGTAAATACATTTATAAAAGAATAGAAACCAGTTTCTGATAAAAGGTCTAGGTAATCATAATTATTAACTGTTTGTGCACCAATTATGTTTATATTCATGTCCCCAATTAAGGTAATTATACCAGAATTCAAATTTAAATTATTGAAAACATATTTTAATGAATTAATGAAACCTATAGAGTCAGATGAGGGCGATCTGTATATACATACAATAGTTATAGGCACATTGTTGATTATCAGCGATAGTTTTACAATATTATATTCTAAAAAGTCATAGTCATAGAAATCCGCATTTAGATGATTTTTCACAAAAATTATTATACCATCATTTTGGTTTCTTTTTGTACTAGAGAATAATATACTGTAACCAGGTATCATATAGTGACAAAACAGTGAGTTATGCCACGTCTCAGTTAAAACTATAATATCAATTTTCTTATTATTTACATCATTTTCTAAAAATAAAAGCAGCTCGTCAAAATGCGCATTCACACTTCTTATGTTAAAACATATGATATTTAATAGAGATTCATTATTGTTATTTAAATATGAATTATATTCCGAGAACGACTCAAAATAATTAGTTCTATATTTAATACTATCAATCACATTATTAAATATATCCATGATAATTAAATTAAAAACATATATACAAGATCGAAGTAGAAATTAAAGGAGATCTAATTTAAGTTGCTTAAGGAGCTTTCGTTTTCGATTAGAATTGCTTTTTGGTCTTCATTTTTTTTTATAAATATTTTCGAATCCTTAAACCAAACAAATTTATATCCGGTTTCGCGAGCAAAAGTCTTAGTTTTAAAGAGCAGGTTTCTATTAAAAAAAGTAAGATAATTATTTACATAAATTGGTTCCATGCCCCATTTTTCGTTAAACATAATTCCTTTCGGTTTAGACTTTCTCGAGTTGCTTATGGTGTTGCTACTGCATTGACGAGTGCTCAACTCAGCTACAAGTTTCCTGGGTTTATTTTTGATTTTTGAAGGTGCACGAAATGCCCTATTGACCGTTGTCTCCACTCCCAATTTTGCTATGATTGTTTTTACTGTTTCTACACTGTTTTCATCCTGAGTTTCCGGTACACCAATAATTTCAATGAAATTGTCCAGAGCCTTTTGTTCCAGCGTATTGACACGGTTCACCAATAATATAATTTCATTGTTGAATATAATATTTTGTTTTTTTAATACTCGATTTTCTTCTCTCATTTCTTTAACTGAAGATAATAATTCTTGTAATTTTGCACCAAAGTTGTCAAACTTGTCGCTCATAAAATTTACTGAATCAGATAGATTATTAAAATTTTCTTTCGTAATATCGATGACGGGTTTTTTTACCGGTGAGTTATTGATAGGCTGCTTCTCATTAAACTTGCATTTGTTGCAAGCCCATTTTGTCTTTGTTATTTTGGACATTTTTCTAAAAGTAGCTTCTCTCAATGCGACACACATAAAATGGAAATTTTCATTGCATATAGAACAAGTTAAAATATCATCAAGAAAGATGTCATCGTTGCATGTGTTACACAACATTTTCGTTATTTTAGATATAGTAAATTAATGAAGCCCGAGCTATAGCAGTTATAATATACGTGCAATAAATTCGAATGTAGTTCGTCGATGCCAAAGGTTAGTCGATAAGGTACGAGATAAGCGAGCGAAAGAAAAACGACAAACAACCGTTCCCGACCACTACAGAACAGTAACTGAAAATTTTACTAATTAATTTTAATTTTAATGTCAGGTATACCTATATTCAAACTGAACACTACTAATAATATAAACATTAAACAATATAAAAGGCATGAAACTATAGTTTATATATATATATTATATAATATAATATATAAAAAAAAATGAAATTAATATTAATATGATGTTTATCGTGATAGTTATCAGTATTATCACTTTTCAGTTTATTATATAATATTTTAAATAATATATGAGGTACATTTTTTTGTATGAATAATAGATAATTTTATCTATTTTAAGCACGGACTACTACAGTAAGTTGTAGTAGTCCGTGATTTTAAGTAAATTATTATAGTTTGCTGCGGTTCCATGATAACATGATAACACGATATTCAACCAGACATAGATAATAGATTATCTATGCAACCAGAGGCCGCCGTAGTGCGCGCGCACCGTATGCCAAAATGACATTATTTATTTATTTATTTATTGAATATATTCAACGGGCAATAGCCCTTTACAAAGTATATAATATAACAATATGACAACAATCAAAATACATATAAATTAAGTAGGTAATAAAAATACAAAAATTTAAATAATGTTTTAAAATTAAAAATAAATGACTAAGAATAAATGTATACGACAAGTAACAATATTAAGTAATAATAATAATTAGATAAAATGTGGTTTTTTTAGAAGCAGTACAGTATTTAGTTTAAAATTTACACGAGTAGAATTAAAAAAATCAAGATGGTGGGAGATTAAATTGGCTAACCTAAGAGCTCTTGGTAGAAAAGAGAAGGCTCCACTATTAGTTCTATAATGTGGAATAACAAATAAATCTAGATTGCGCGTATGAAGACGAGGAATTCGGAAACCAATCATTGCTAATAATTCAGGACAAAGAACAAAAAAATAAACAAAAAAAAACATTATATCTGTTAGATTCCGTCTCAGAGAAAGACTATCGAGATCCAATGATACCTGAATTGGTATAATTGAGTCTCTGGAGAAAGGAAGATTTAGTTTATATGAAATATTTTTGAGAAACTTGTTTTGAACATTATCAAGTTCAGAGTAAAATGTTGTTAGATTTTGCGACCAAACAAGTGAGCCAAATTCAAGGTTAGATCTAACTAAAGAAGTATAAAGTAATTTTAAGCATCTAGGATTTTTAAATTCTTTAGTATTTCTATTTAAGAAACCTAACATCTTATATGATTTATTGAGGATTGTTTTATGATTCAATTTGAAGCCAAGATCACTATCAAAGTGAATTCCCAAATCTTTGATTGAATTGACTCTTGATAAGGGACACTCATTAATTATATACTGATTCAAAAGAGGATTAGCTCTACGGGTAAAAGAAATTACATTACACTTATTAATATTTAATGGTAAATAATTTTTTTTACTCCAAATAACAAACTTATCTAATATTGATTGAAGATTTATTTGATCAGCTACAGAATTCATCTTGCAAAAAATTTTAGCATCATCAGCAAATAATAAAATATGTGCTATGTTAGAGTTATCTAATATATAATGTGGTAAATCATCAATGAAAATTAGAAACAGTAGAGGACCTAAATGGGAACCTTGAGGGACACCAGAAGAGACCTGAAAATTTTGTGATGAGTGAAATGAGATTTTGACGGCTTGAGTTCTATTTGTGAGGTACGAATATAGCCATTTAAGAAAGTTTCCATCTATACCAAATGATTTTAATTTATAATAAAGTAAAATATGATCAACTTTGTCAAAAGCCTTCTGAAAATCAGTGTATATGGTGTCAACTTGAAGACCTTGATCTAAAGCATTAGTTAGAAAATTTTGATACAATAGTAAATTGGTGAAAATCGAGTGCTTCATTAAGAAACCATGCTGAGCGGGACTAATATAATTTAATAATATACTGGACAGTTTTTTAGAAATAATAGCTTCAAATACTTTAGGTATAGCAGAAAGTTTAGAGATTGGCCGATAATTACAGATATCATTCTTACTCCCAGATTTATGTATAGGTGTAACAAATGATTTTTTCCAAAAGGTGGGAAAAACACCAGTTGATAAAGAGAGATTAAATAAATAGTGCAATGGCTTGACTAACACTGAAAAGCATTTTTTTAGGAAAATCGGTGGAATACCATCGGGACCAGTAGATGATTTATCATCAATAGATATTAAATAATCAGCAATTTCATCCTCAGATATGTACATTGAGTTAATATTTATATCATGCATATTAACATTAAGAGATTCAAGAATATCATCAGGCAATTTATTTTTAGAGTAAACAGAGGAGAAATGATTAGCAAATAATTGAGAGATTTCTACTATATTATGAGCAGTTGTATTATAAAAAAACATTGACATTGGAATATTAGATTTATTTGATTTGAGAGATTGAATATATTTCCAAAATGATTTTATGTTAATGTTAATGTTATTTTCAATCTTAAGTATGTAGTTTAATTGAAGTTGTTTAGATAGTTGTTTACATTCCTTGCGTAAATTAGAAAAAATAGAATAATCAGATAAAGAATTTGAAATTTTATATTTTTTATGCGCTAATTTTTTTAATTTAATTATTTTTCTTAAATTATAATTTGACCAAGAAACGTTATGATCAGTATTAAGATCTAAAGTAATCATTGGAACTAATAAATCAAAATAATGATTAATTATTTCATGGAATTTCAATATAGCATTTTCTAAATTCAAGGTAGTTATATTATCCATAATATCTATATGAGACAAAAAAGCAAGAATGTCATTAAAATTGCAGGAATTAAAATTGAAAATTACAGGAGAACTAACTAATTTATCAATTGCATTGTAGTGAACCGTGGTTTCACCCATAGATATCTTTCAATTTTTGTTATCTATGGGTTTCACCACAACATAATATAAGTATAGGTAATAACATATAATAAATTGTAACTTAATATTTTATTATAGGTAGTTATTATTTTTAAAATAATTTAAATGACGCGTACCAAACTTTCCAAACACCTTGCATATTATTTTTAGTGTGCATTTCAATTTTCAGCATTTGTCGACTAGTGGTCAGTGGTTGAGGACGTGAATATTTTGTTTGTAAATTTTTTTCAATTGAAAATTTCAACAGTACGTTCAGTGGTAAGTAGATTTTATGAAATTATAAAACATTTACATTTACAACCTTATTTTTTTTTATCTAAAATGCCGAAAAATCCATACAAACAAATAACTAATTTGAGTAAATCTCAAAAGAACCGCAGATTACGTGTATTACAACAAGCCTCTTTAGCTAGTGATACTTGTGCAGTACCTATTAGTGTGGTTTCAAATACTGTAGCTCCCGATCCTGATATTGAGATTAATCACGCCAATGCCGAATTCTTTAACGAATTCAATATTTATTGTCCTAGTAGTAGTACTAGTAGTAGCAGTACTAGTAGCTGCAATAGTAGTAGTTCAAATGATTATTTTGAAGATGAATATTTTAATGAATGTAGTAACACCGATAGTAATCTTTCTACTAAATTAAGGGAATGGGCTTCAGAGAAATATATTTCTGCTAATGCTTTGACTTCGCTTTTGCACATTCTCACTTCCAGTAATCCATTAGATCTAATAACTCTTCCAAAAGATGCAAGAACATTGATGAAAACTCCAAAGCAACCTTTAATTTCCAAAAAAATTGGAGATTCCGGAGAATATGTTCATTTTGGTCTAGAAATAGGTTTGCGCAAAACATTTTTGAAATATAGCAACAGTATTTTAAAAAATGTCAGTTCTTTTAAAGTGTTTATCAACTTTGACGGGGTACCAATATATAAAAGTTCTGGTGGTTCTTTGTGGTCAATTTCTTGTTCTATATTTGAAATCAAACATGATCCATTCATTATAGGGTCATATTTCGGAACAAAAGAACCAACAAATGTTGAAGCTTATCTTGAAGACTTTGTCAAAGAAGCTTCTTATTTAACTATTAATGGTTTATTTATTAATGATCGCCATATGACTTTTAATATTGAGGGTTATATATGTGATGCACCAGCTCGAGCCTTAGTAAAATGTATTAAAAGGCATAATGCATATTTTGCATGTGAAAAATGCCAAGTTGAGGGTGATCATATAAATAATCGCATGTGTTTTGCTGACGTTTCAGCACCACGTCGTACTGATATTGATTTTGCAGCTGGTGTCTATGATGATCACTGTCGTGAAAAGTCACCACTTCTTTTGATTCCAAGAGCAAAATTAGTGACACAATTTCCACTAGATTATTTACACTTAATTTGTCTTGGCACTATACGAAAAATGTTATACTTGTGGATAAAGGGTCCCCTTAATGTCAGGCTTTCAGGAGTAGTGGTAAAAAATATTTCTTATCAACTAATTGAATTACAGAAACATATTTCATCTGACTTTGCTCGAAAACCAAGAGCATTGTCTGAGCTTTGTCATTGGAAGGGCACAGAATTTAGACTGTTTGTTTTATATATTGGCCCATTAGTGTTAAAAATATGTTAAATCCAAATTTGTATGCCCATTTTATGACACTTCATACTGCTATAAGAATATTATCTTCATCTAAATATGTAAATTATATGATTGATTATGCCAATGATTTACTACTACATTTTGTCACTCAATTTGGAGGGTTATATGGTGATGAATATATATCATATAATATACATAACCTTATTCATTTGGCTGAGGACTGTCGGCAGTATGGCCATTTAGATTTATTCAGTACTTTCCATTTTGAAAACAGTTTCCAAGTTATAAAAAAAAAAATAAGAAAAAGTACCAATCCCTTAGCTCAACTTCGAAACAGAGAAGAAGAGCGTTGTAACACACCTTTAATAAACACTAAAAATTACCCAATATTAAAAAAAAGAAATGTGAATGGCACTTTTATTGTTGGAGTTGAAGGTGTGTCGTATAAACAAGTTCATACCGAAATATTTTTACCAACTATAAAGAAACCGAATAATTGTTGCATTGATAATGATGGGTCAATACTTTTAATTGGAAATATCACTCAGAGTGATAATGAAATATTTTTGGTTTGTAGAAAATTTTTAAATGTAAATGATTTATTTGAATTTCCTTTGCCTTCAGGTAATATTGGAATATTTTTATGTAATAATTTATCAGAACTTAAACCAATAAAATTAATTAATATCAAATCTAAAGCATTGATAATACCCATGCATAATGATGAAAATGTAGATACATTTTCTGTGTTAACAATATTACATTAAATATTGCACATTTTACTATTAGGTAGATTTGTGTATTTTTAAAACTTAGAATTTAATTTTTATAATTTTTATTTTAAACTAAAAAAGCATGTTAGCAACCTATTTTCAGAAATCAAAATGGAAGATTGTAAATTTGTTATCAGTGAAGTACATTTTAAAGAAGGACCAATGCTAACAATTTTACATTATAGTTGGTTAGAGAGTACACATAACGTAACGCAATATTGCCTATGGCCGAATAAAAAAGGTTCATCCATTAAATTAGCCAAGTCAGAGTACTACCCAGAAGACAGTTGGATTCAATATAGATGTAGGATTATATATAAATGTGGTTAGTAATAAATGGGTAAACTTAAGTTATTAACTCAATTTTTTTTAACTGTGTATTTGATAAATGGTTTTAGAATCATTCACTCAAGCCCAAAAAAAATTGAACAGATTTGCAAATGATAACAATTATAAAGGTGAAACAACAAATGATGAAGATTAAGGTCGTGGGAAGAGGCAGAAATTTAAAAATTTAAAATTATTCACTGATGAATCAAGTTCACAAGAATCTCATAGTTTTATTAAAAGTCTTCCAAAACCTCCTTCATGGGCTAAACGCCTGAGTAATTACAATTTATATTTGGTTATTTAAATATAGGTTTTAAAAACTTCATTATTTGCTTATGTTGTACAGATGATAATTACAATATATTGGTGCAGCCATACCACTCCACAGAAAAACCCAAAAAAACAAATCAATTTGGTAAAAACATTAGTCTTAGTTAATATAATTCTTATTTGGTAATTTATATAGTTTTTTAAAAATGTCTATCTTTGCTAATGTTGTACAGATGATAGTGAGGATGATATGTTTGAGCCGGCATACCACTCAACGGAAAAAAAAAATAAAACAAATCATATTGGTAACAATTAGTTTTAGTTAATACAATTCTTATTTGGTAAGTTACATAGTTTTTTAAAAATGTCTATCTTTGCTAATATTGTACAGATGATAGTGAGGATGATATGTTTGAGCCGGCATACCACTCAACGGAAAAAAAAAAAATAAAACAAATCATATTGGTAACAATTAGTTTTAGTTAATACAATTCTTATTTGGTAAGTTACATAGTTTTTTTTTAATTTCTATATTTGCTTAGGTTGTACAGATAATAGTGACAAAGATATAGTTGAGCTGAATATTTCAGCAAGAGAAATATCTCAAGATGAAAGAACCCAAGACGAAACGACTTCTAATAATACAGGTAAATTAATTTTTATGGTAAATCTGGGTATTGTAAAATAATATGTACCTAATAACTTAAAATCAATATTTTTAGTAAATTTATCAACTATTGCAAACCTACTGCAAAAACAGTTCAAAGCAACACTATACACTAATTGTTTACTTGAACAATTATTACAATCCAATAATCAAACTGTCCAACCAGCTAGCTTAAGTATTCAGGAAAAATTTCGAAGCAGGTTCCATAATTTGCCACTTAATTCCTTAGAAGATGTTGTTGAAATGGAAAATAAGTTGAAAGATCCAGCATCACAGCATTTAATGGTAATTTTTTATTTATAATTATTAATTCAAACTTAATCTTTTCATTAATTGCTTTTATAATTTTAGAAAAATCGCTTAAGACAATGTGGGTGCCGAAATAGTATACAAGAAACTGTCACTACTATATTAAGAACAGTAATGAGTGATACATGTGCTCAATATTATAACTTTGATGGAAAGAACAATGCAAAGAATCCATTTAAAGAATTGACTCTTAATTCTATAATAATAGGTATAATCACTGAGTGATAATAATCTATACATATTATTATACTTATACAAAAATTATTTTTTATATATTATTCTTTTTTGTTTTGTTAACTATTAGATGTTGTTTTAAATTTCCACACCGATGCAACTGAGCATGATGTCAAAACAAAAATTCGAAATTGGTTAAGATTAGCTTCGACAAGACTTTCAAATAAAATAATTCGCCAGACTCTTAAACAAAAAAATAATACGTAAACTTTAACCATACCACTTTATCCTTTTATTTAACCATAGCCATAATATTATTTTCATTATTTTTACATTATTATTATATTTTTTTTTCTTATTTTTTAATGCTGATATGACTACTGCTGTATTATATATAGTAACATAATACATTTTAAAGACAAATATTTATATTTTTAAATTGCAATTTAACCATAGACAAATAATTGTCATTATTTTTGAATTATTATTATCATTATTATTATTTAATGCCGGTATGACTACTGCTGAACTATATATAGTAACAGAATAAATTGATATAAATAAAATGAATATTCTTATAGGACGATCACCCATTAAAGCTGTAATACCAAATTATTTTACTAAGTTCCTAATTTTGTGATTGATTATTAAATTATTTATATTCTAAGCTTTTTGCAAAGAATTTTTAATTGTTTGATAGAGATGATTGTTATTATTGTATTTATAAAATATATGTTAACAAATTGACTAAAATGTATGTTATATTTAAATTATAAGTATTATTTTAAGTAGTATGTTTACATATTTTTTTAGATTATAATGTATGTTTTAATTTATTATTTTTTGTTCTATGTAATATAACTAAAAACAATAATATATAATATGTAATGGAGTATTTTTTACCAATTATGGTATGTCTACTTAAAATGTTAATTAATGTATATGGATAGATGTTATAAATGAGTTGAATTTGATCTACTACATGATATATGATAGATACTTTAATTGGATCTTCGAATAGACTAAAAAAGTGGCGCATATAGACTAATCTTAGACTTATCATAGACATCTACATTTACATCACATGTATGTCTTACGTCTATGATGGATTGGTAAATTAGACGTCTAATATACATTACAGTGTTTGCTGGGTCAATGAAGTATGCTAACAAATGATTCTGTTATTAAATGTTAACATAATAACAACATAATTGTAAAAAAAAAACAATTAAAATATTATATTTTACATTTTAAAAAATAGAAAGTGAAGTGCAAAACCTTAATTCATACATTATATATAATTTCTTACTAAGTTAATACTTAATGATTAGAAAACAAAATTAATTTGTTTAATTTATGTCGTTTACTGGTAGTATTTACTAATGCAGAATATTCTTTGCCAAATGATTTTAATCTGACGCTTAAATATCTATTTATTAGTAAGGAAATTAAAGTAATTTTAAGGGGTCGTTCCAATAGACTACAATTGCAATGTAATTCTCTAAATATATTACGATCAAGACACAAGTTATTAGTGCATTGGTACATTATTTTTTTATTTGAATTGTGTATGTTATGGTTTGTTAGATAATTTGTTAAATTTAAAAGGATTTTTTCAGCCTCCATTATTATTTTAAAAGAACTTTCATTTTAATTAATTGATATCACGAGGATTGATAACATCTATATTTTGTAAACAGTGCCCAAACTGCATATAACGACTAGGCATCCTATTTGTATGCATAGTCTATACAGAGTCGACTATCGATATCTATGGATATCTCATACCGTCGTCGACGATAAACGATAATGATAATTATTGATAAAAATTGTATTGGTAAATAGGTAGTAGGTACGAATAATTACCTACTAATAATGTTTTCGTATAGTTAAATAATTACAAAGTATAAACTATAAAGTATAATTATAGCCGATAAGCATAAACTTTTTACATATTGTATATTTTGTTATTGACTTAAGCTAATTATAGTGATACCGACTATAGATGCAGTGTTGTGCTTAGATAATTTTTTTTTGTATCTAGATATAGATAAGATATATGAACTCAAAATATATCTAGATATAGATACAGATAAAATCAATTTTATCTAGATGAAAATGAGATGATTTTTTATAAATGTTACTCTTAAAACATGATTTTGTTAAATTTAATTTTTTATATTAGGTTTGTAGAAAATATTAATACAATTATGAGTTATGACTATATATAATTTTAGCTTATATTACTAATAACTATTTGTAAAATGTGTTAAATAATTAAAATGATCATTAAAACAACAATATCAATACTTACTCCATTTTCTGAAAGAAAGACTAGTTGTGGTCTTGTGGGCATAGAAGCCTACTGATGGCAGAATACATTGTATAAACTATAAAGGTATATAATTATTATTTATTAAACTATTATGTTGAATTATACATATACATTTATTTATGATACATATCAAATAGATTTCAAACTAAAAAGAAAAAAAACAATACTATACATAAATTTGTTAACATTTGAAAATTAAAATAATCATAAGGAAAAACAATTTTGATATTTAATATAATTACATAAATATTTACCTTTAGTCTGTTTAAAATAAAATAATATATCTAAAATACATTAATAATTATAAAAAAAAAAAATTACCAGTTTAAAATACAATTTTTTATTTTTTTTGAACCTATTGCATGTTTCTATAACACAATAATTTTTCAAATGTTTTATCACCAAGGCGATTACGCCTTGAAGTTAAAACTTGTACTGCACCACTAAACAGTCTGTCAACAGGTGCAGATGAAGGAAGAGTTGTGTTGTACTTAATAAATATTTTTTTAGTTACTGGATAATTATTCAACATATCTAATTCTTTTTTTTTTAATTCAAAAATTTTATTACTTGTACTTGTACATTTGATTCATTTTCTTGGCTTAAGTCAATTTCATCACTATGGCTTTCAGAAGTCATTTATTGAACGATGTGAGTATAAATTATCATAAAACTCTTTATCACTCGTACAATCACTTTCTTCATTTGCAGAGTTTGGATGTATAATGGTTAAAATGGACACAGCTTTACATTCTTCAATAAATATTTTCTTGCATAAATCTTTGTATCGAACAGGCACCTAATCCAATTTAAATTTTGGATGACTAATTGAAGCAATTATAAAATCTTTGCTTTTTGGATCATTTAGATAAAATAAAAAATTAAATCTCTTCTCTACAGAATTTATAATTGTAAGGCTCAAAATTTGACAATTTAGAAAAAGTAGATTTGGATATTTTGTTATAATTGTTATCAGAAATTTTTGAAATGTCACTAGCTGCAATTAAATTTATTGTGTGAGCACAACAAAGCATATGTTTTGGTAGACAAAATGTACCATCGTTCTTTGAGTTTGATTCAGAAGTTAAAAATAAGTTATTGAATTCTACATTTTCTAATTCAAAATTTGAACAATCTGATCCACTATCAGAATTTGAAGTAACTGAATTGTTTTCATCAAAATTACCTAAATCGTTCATTGTTTCTTTGTGAGCAATGTTTGGAGTAGTAGAGTACACCCTAAATGCTTTTCCAAAGTTTGCAGCATTGTCCGTAACAATATGGGTTATTTTTGAATGTTCAATGTCATATATTTGTGTAATTTTTGATATAACGTCAGCAATGTTTTTGCAGTTGTGGCTTCCCTTAATACGTTTACAACCAAGGACATATGAATGCCGAACATATGTTTTTTCATCAATGAAGTGGCAAGTCATTCCTAGAAATAAATCAAAATAACATATGCAGTAATTTAAAAAATACTAGAGAGATTGTCTCATTAGTTATTACAGAATAGGAACAAAGTCATTTAAACATAGTCGTTTGGACTTTGGGATAATTGGAGAAAAAAAATATATATAAATCAATAAATTATTTTCATTGAAATTTAAAATAATACATTATTATAATAATAAAATAGATCAATATTAAAATATATTAAGAAAAGTAGTTCTGCTGATTTATTTATATTTATAAATTATAAAACCATTGATATTATGTTTATAATACAAATAAAAAATATAGTATTGTATCGTATCGAACCTAACCAATTATTATTTAATATTACGTATAACAAAAGACAAATATTAACTAACTTATTGGCATATTTTAAGTGTTTCTCTAATATTAGTATAAAATGTTGATCATTTTTTAATATAATATTTTTAAGATTTAGATTTAAATTTATTTTTTTAATTTTTGACATTAATAACTTAATATTTTTTATACATTTTTGATATTGTATTTTAATTTTTGGCGTACCTTACTATATAATAAAAAAAAATTGTTTTAGTCATATTTTTAACTTTAATATTTTATATTATAGGAATCTGTGATAATAAATAACTTATAAATTGACTGATTTATATTCATTTATTTTTTTACTTTTTTTTACTATCTCTACCTTCGACCATATAAACTAATAGACGCGCCTTATCATATACTTGTACGGGAACAATTTTGTAGCCCACATGTTTAGTGATATGACGTACGTTGGGCAAAATAACAAATATTATATTATGATTATATTATGAATAATAAGTACTATATTATGTACTAATGCTAAATAATACTGCTAATAACCCGAGTAATCGACTTGTCGTAGTAAATAATAAATATATAATAATATTGAATTTTGTTAATTATACGTAATACCTAACTAATAAGTAGAGCGCGGATTTTTATGCACTTAAAAGTATTGAAATATGCCATATAATATGCAGTAAAAATCATGAAAATATGCAAAAAATATGCAGTCAAAATCATGAAATTATGTAAAAATATGCAAAAATCTTTTATTTATTTAAAATTTACAATACAACTTATAATAATTAATTACTTAAAAAGGTACTTGATAAAAAAAATTTAGGAAATTTTCTGAAAAACTTAATTTATTTATTTATTATTAAAATGAATAATCATGTGCGTTCGACGTCAACCGAAGTTATTGGGGCATATTTGAAGCAACCTAGTATTGTCGGGTCTTGATAAAGATCTTGGAGCCGAACGTTTTCTCCTAATAACACTGAATTAATTTTTCGTAGAATCTTCAGACCTTCATTTTTGTTGGAAAGCTCGTTTAGTTTTATTGCAAGAGTTGCACCTTCAATCCAGGAATAGAATTAATTTATTCTTCGTTTCGTTAATTATTGAAATGTTTTCATGTAAAGTCATATTTTGAGTTTCAAGTTTTTTTATAACTATCATGATTATTTATCTTATAAAGGCTTAAATAAATATATATATAGATTATTATTTAGTGACTATGAAATTTAGTTTTAATTTTTCTACTTGACAAAATATTATTTTTTACATTTTTTTAAAATTTTTGCTTCAATATACAATATTTTTAAATTTTGCCAAAATATGCAAAAATATGAAATAACTTTTAAATATGCAGAAATATGCAAATACAATTTTCTACATTAGCTTCAAATTATGATGATTCGTGGAGATAACTGACAACAATCCAAAAATATTAAAAGGAAAAAAATATGCAATCGCATAAAAATCCGCGCTCTAGTTATAATGAAACATAAAGCGAAATTAATAAATGTACACTTAACCTACATGTGGTTGAATTAAAGATATTGTAAAGTTGTTTAGTTTAAATGTTATTTTGGTTTACATAAAATAAAACACATTGCCAAAAAGTAACAGTACACTTTGATTATATTATTAACTATACAACATATTTAAGACAAAATTAATGCTTAAACATTAAATAATAATCAACTAAAATACTAAAATACAACAATACATTAAAAACAAACAACAATACACAACAATTTTAGTTATAACAAAACATAAAGTTTATATATATTTATTTATGATTAAAGTTTTAGTTAAAATACAAAAAATAAACATTTATTAACAACACTAGAAAATAAATAGTACCCACACTAAAATAAATAGTACCTACACTAAAACAAAATAGTACCTACACTAAAATAAACAGTCTTAGATAGATTTACCAAGTATCATCACCCCCATTCACATTTACATTAATTTTCATTTATTAACCAATAAATAAGTAATTTAATGTGGACAAGAGGTTTTTCTCATTTGAAAAACAGAAGTTTGCTTCTCCATTACTCACTTCTTTAGTAAATAAAATTTCAAGAATAAGAAAATAATCTCTATAAGTAGGGTTGCCATTCATCCCAGTTTTAACGGAATGTCCCAGTGTCCCAGCTGGTCTTTAAGTTTGTCTCGGTTAATAGAAGCAAAGAGAAAACTAAACTATACTAGACTATATTTTTATAGATGATGTTGTGCCTACCGGTTGTTCTTACTTCAAATTTAAACTAAAATATTGGTTCTAGTGGTTCTACAATAATCTATACAGGAAAAGAAATAAATCATTTGTATACAATCTAAAAAAGTTAAAAATGATTATTCATATTATATATCTTGTATTTAAACTCCATGTATTATTTTTTAAAACCAACTGGCCTTAATTCTAAAAAAAAATAAAACATTTTTTTTTTTATTGTTTTTATCCTCTTTTTTTAAAAATTATTTTAAAAGGAAATGATCAATGTAAGTAATAAGCAATAACAATGTAGCAGGGTTTAAAGAAGGAAAAAATTCCAGAAGGGACTAATGTATCCATATAGTTTTAAGCATTCCATATATAATTTTATGTATAATGTCTAATGTATAAAATCCTAATTTGTTAAATTGGACGCTTTTTAACCGCCATCAGAGGAATGGGGATTGAGTCCTCCTACGCCTCCCCCACTTTAAACCCTTGAATATTAGTAAGTTGCCTAATGTAAAAAAAAATTGTATTGGCTAATAAATATTTATATTAAAAAAACAATATACTTATTTCCATATAAGAAAAAAAAAGGCTATTCAATACGATGGCCCGGTTTGATAATTTCAAAGTCTGGTAATCCCATGTATAAGTTATATTTTATGAATTCCAAAATATCAGACTACATAATAACTGCATTATTAAAGAAGAAAAATGGGGGTGAGCATACTGATGAATATACATATACACTGCAGTGTGTAATCGCTAATTGAGAACACTCAATATCATTGAGTAGGGCCCTGAAATTTGAATTCTGTTTTCTAGTTGGTTGTTATGGCATAAATATACACTTTTTGATGGCCTATGAATTTTTTTAACTTAATTAGACTTGTGCATGGGCAATACAACTTTTTTTTTCTTAAATGACAACCACCTATTTTATCTAATTAACTACTAATTTTTTTTGCCTTATTTTTTTATTTTTTAAAGATATTGAGTGTTCTCAATTAGCGATTACACACTGTATATAATTACTTTTAGTACAGTTGAGATTTCTTCAGAGATCATAGATTTTGTCATGAATTCAAGTATTTAATTTTTTTTATAAGACGACGCTTGGATTGTTGGAGTGTTTTGATGTTTTTTTGTTTAGCAGTAAGTTTCTTTATTGTTAATTTTAAAAATTTTTTACTATTCTCAGGTATTATCATATCATCCTCTGTAAAGTCACCAATATATCTTTTACTGCTTGTACAGGTTTTTGTAAGCTTTGCTTGAGAATTTTGATTTAGTTTTCTAAAAATAAACTTTAAATGTAACTAAAAAAAATTTCATTTTAAAAAAAATTATACTTACTCTAATGAATCATTGGTGTTTTTTGATATAACATTGTGTTGTCTGTTTGTTGGGGGTTTTCTTGGTTTTTTATTTTTATTTAAATGAGTAGGAAAATCAAATATTGAAGGTATTGCATCATTTTTCAATTTTTTCTGTGAACTCCAAGGACTAATATCATAGCAGTCATTGGTAAAATGCTTAGAACAAAGTTTAGATTGTTTGCTCGGTGTAAAATTATCCCTTCGTATAACTTGGATCCATTTTTTTTTTTAATTCATCATCTTTTGGAAAACTTTAAATAAATAGTAGTAAGGTAGTTTGAATTAAATTAAATTAGGAATACCTAGTTGAAAATTTTTTTGGACTTAGTCCGACTTACCCATGAAAAGAAACTCCTTTTGTATACCTTTGTGTACAATTATATGCAGAACAAGAGATGACCATTTTTTTTTTAATAATAATATAATACTTAAAATCTACTCATATATATTATTATTTATTACCAATGAACCAATTTTAATTTATTTTTATTACTAATAGTGTTATAACTTATTATTTATTACCAATTACTAGAACCTGGGGAACAAAAAACGGTACTGGTTTGTTATAACCCCGCCACTCATGTTTGTTATAGGCCCGCCATCCATATAACAATAAATACATCGTATTATTTGTGGGTACTTGAAAGTTCTTAAGTACACTATTATATATCTATGATAATATCAGGGTTTGTTGTTTACGTATAACGCGTTATAAGTACCTAATGGATATTGTGATATGATTAAATTGGAATTTATTATAGGTCAACTTTTTTTAATACCATAGATAAGTATATAATATGTCTTATACCTATACTGACATATCGTCTCCTCTCAGAATCGTTTTTCTTATACAATGATATTATATCATTGAATTCAAATTTAATACTATCCATTATACAGTAACCCACTTGTAACCTACTGTACAGCAGAGCACCTTTTTATTTATAGTTTTACCATTAATAAATAAATTCTAGTAGGTATTTATAATCGATAGTAGGTATTGTGTAAAAAGTCAAAAATCTCTGATGGTAATACAGTAGGTACATTTAGGGCCGTTCTTATAATGTTCTTTTATGTCCGGTTAAAGTTAACCGACACTTAACCGGCCGAATTCTGCCGGTAATAAAATCTGTTATCAGTCGGTTAGCGTTAACCTACGTCCTACACTTTACAGGACATTGTAAGAACGGCCCTTAATATTTTTATTGTACAAGTGATAAAACAATTAGTACCTAATAACTGAAATAGCCATCCACCCAAAGTTATTTGATACCAACATTTCAGATGCTGACACAGATGAAGACGAAGACACGGATACCGAATACCTAGTCTTGAATTTACAAAATATACGAATTAAATAACTAATATTTACCAGTAAGTAAATAATCAATGATCCGATAGTTTTTGGTTTTGTATAACGTAGGTAACATTTGAAAATAATTAGTTTATTACAGATTTTAAAACACTGTACGTCGTCGGTGTTTGTGTCTTTGTGAGTTCGCGCGTTCGATCGTTGGCGACGGCCGAGTGCCGACGACGGCTTGTTCGTCAAAATCCGTCGTACCAACGGTCTGTGGAGGTGTTGTAGCAGACGCCGTCGCCACCGCTTCGCCGATCGATACAACGTTATCAACTCGTTACCGCGATATACCTCCACAGAATAGAGAATTAATACTGATACTACCTAATCAGTAATCGTAGGCTGGCCGCTGCTCGCTGGTGCTTCGTTTCTCCTGTAGTCCTGTTAGGTACCCGTTTAGTAGTCCTGTTTCTTGTTTTATTTTTCGTTCGTCGTTTATTTAACTTTTACGTCCGTGACCTGTGCGTGGCGAATTCGGTCGGTGTTCGTTTACTCCATCGCGTTGTCACTCGTTTACATTATAACTTAAATTAACAGCGGTCGCAACCTCTCGTCACGTAATTCGAACGTTCGTCTTCGCAGTAGTTTGTTATTTTTTTCCCCCCGGCTGCGACGAAATTCACGTACACGTCATCGATTGTCTGCCCAGTGGTGTGGCGAAGTAAAAATTGTCCGGAGGCAAGTTACAAATATCCCAAGTATTTATGCATATAATAATTGTAGAAATCATTAATATAATATAACTGACTATAACTGATCATTATTGACTAGGTACCTATTGAGTGTATCATATTATATTTACCAAGGAACCCACTTATGTGAGTAACATAGCAAAGTTTATGCTCAGCAAGTACTTGTAGCTCTCTCAATCAGTGGCGTGGTGAACGACGTTTACATAATGCAATTGCTGAGCCCTAGACATTTTTCAGGGGGGTGGGTACTCCTTGGCCCAGGTAAAGATAATAAAGAATATATAGGTATTAAGAATAACTACCATCGGCCAAAATAGATTGGAATCACTAATGTTTCTATCTTGGGAAAAAGATATTTCACCTTATTTAGAAGAAGCATTAGATAGAATTGGTAAATCTTCTCAACTGCTAGAAAAAGCTCTTTTATTTAAATAAATAAATAATTTTATATTTATGTAATAGTGTGACACTGTAAATAAAAAATGATATTAGTATATAACAATATACCTATATTATATTTTATGTATTGCGTTTTAATTATAATTAATGCATTATGTAATCTATTTTCCGATAATACACTTACATATAAGCAAGGCTTATGTTTCCTGCATAAAAGACTGCTTCAAAAGTCATCAGAGTTAATTGATAGGTATTTTAGGTTCTGAGTGAAACGATGAATGTATTGATTTTACAATGATGTGTGTTATTTTTATATTTTTTTTGTGTCTGTCATCACGTTTTAGGACAGTAAAAGTGATTGGGTTTTCTTCAACAGTAGCTTTTCTGATAGGAAAGTGAATCTAGTTGGTACTTTGGGGGATCAAAAGTAAAAATTTCCCAGTAGTTTTTACAAGCGCCGGGAAATACAACATAAAAACTAAGGAAAAACGGGAATTTTTACGCAAAATTGGTTTTCCAAAAAATCGATTTTGATTATTGGTGTAACTCTAAAAGAAATGAACGTATATACATAAAATTTTCTGTTTATATTTGCATTTTATATACACGATAACATTTTCAAAATATTTTGATTTATTTTGAACTGTTTAGGGACATTTTAATTTTCCATTTTTTTTTTAGTTCTTTTTCTAAAAATATCAATAAAATTTTATTTGTTGGTTAAAAAAGCTTGAAAATGTAAAAGAAGGCTCCTAGTATATTATATCAAAGGCAGATGAAAAATATTAATAATCCTTAGTCACTGTTTCTTTTAATAAGCATTTAAAGTTCAAAAATTGACAAAATATGGAAAAATCACGAAAATTAGCAAATTATTTTGAGTTAAGAATTCGTAAAAATTTATCTTTTTAAATCTAAGATTTGAAAATATAATACAATATTCCTTATAACTAGTTATAAGATTATCTACCTTTATCAAAAAAAAAAAGTCTATAAGAAAGTCAAATTAAATTTTTATGAGGGTTTGAAATTCAAATTTTTACAACATTGGATATTCACTGGATTTCTCATGTAGCGATTTCCTTATTTTGTTGTAATTCAAAAACGAATAACTGTAGATACATGAAAACTGAATGTTGAAATTATCATTTCCTATACACCATACAATTTTGAAAATATTTTGACTCTTTTGGAGCTATTTACTGACATTTACTGCTTTCAATTTTTTTTAGTTTTTTTTCTATTATTATCAATTAAGTTTTATCTGTTGGGCCAAAAAGTGTAAAAATGTAATACAAGGCTCCTGATATATTGTTCCAATAACAGTTGAAAAATATTAAAAATACATAGGCACAGTTTTTTTTATAAGCATTTAAAGATCGAATTTTGACAAAATTTATCAAATTTAAAATTGAATAATTATTTTGTAGTTAAAAATTTATAAAATGTTCAACTTTTATATCTAAGGATTGAAAATTTAAAACAAAAGATTCCATGTAAGTAGTTAATTCTGTTACCAAAAAATCTAAAAAATACACAAGCATAGTTTATTTTATAGTCATTTTAAGTTCAAATTTGGACGAAATCACATATTAAAAACCTGGTATAACTATTTTAGTTATTTTGTTGTAACTGTATAATATTATTCGTGGGTACTGGAAACTTTTAAAGTACCATATTGTAGTATACTACAGTAAATCTATGATAGTATCACGGTTTGTTGTTGATGTATAACGCGTTATAAGTAGGTTCATAATGGATATTGTGATATGATTAATTTGGAATTTATTATAGGTACCAATTATAGGTCAATTTTTTTTTGAATACCATAGATAAGTAAATAATATGTCTTATATTTAGACTGACATACCGTCTCCGCTCAGAATCGTTTTTTTTATACAATGATATTATGTCATTGAATTCAAATTTAATACCATCTATTATACAGTAACCACTTGTAACCTACCGTACAGCAGACCACCTTTTTGTGGATAAATGATTAATAAAAGTAAATGGTAAGTACTACTTATGGCTTATTGTGGGCTAAAATATAGTGGTACCTACCTCTCTTTAACAAACTTCTATTTCTATATTACTTAGGATAATTTAAATGTATTTTTATTTATTTATTAATATTATATATTATTATTTATTTTATGCATTTTGTACACTAAAAATGAGTTTTATAAGTAATACAAGGCTCCTGATATATTGATACAATATCAGTTGAAAAATATTAAAAATACATAGGCACAGTTTTTTTATAAGCATTTAAAGATCGAATTTTGACAAAATTTATCAAAATCTCGAAATTTATCAATCATTGTAATTAATAAATTATAAAATGTTCAATTTTATAGCTAAGGATTGCAAATTTAAAACAAAGGTTCTCATAAATAGTTAATACTGTAACCAAAAAATCAAAAAAATATATGAACACAGTTATTTTTTACAGACATTTTAAATTAAAATTTGGACGAAATTACATATTAAAATACCTAGAATAACTATTTTAGTTATTTGGTTGTGATTGAATAATATTATTCGTGGGTACTTGAAATTTCTAAAGTGTACTATTATATATCTATGATAGTATCACGGTTTTTGTTGATGTATAACGAGTTTTAAGTACCTAATGGATATTGTGATATGATTAATTTGGAATTTATTATAGGTATCTACCTATTATAGGTCGAATTTTGGTTTAGTACCATAGATATGTATATAATATGTCTTTTACCTAGACTGACATACCGTCTCCGCTCAGAATCGTTTTTCTTATACAATGATATTATATCGTTGAATTCAATATCATCCATTATCCAGTGACCCACTTGTACCCTACTGTACAGCAGAGCGACACCCACTTGCCCACCTTTTTAACTATACTATTTCTATTTTATGTATAATTAATTATTAAAGTATTATTTATAATAAATGTTTGATGACTTCTTATAACAAAAATTCAAAATTAGCATATAGAAAATTATATATAGTTTGTGGGGGGGGGGGGTGAAAGTGGGGGGGTCATTACAATATTAATTTGCTTAGGGTTTGAAAGATGCTCGCCACGCCACTGCTCTCAATTTATAAAATCTTAAAGTGAGATTATTATCTAGGCAACCTCGTGGGCTTTTTATTATATTTTAATTTGTAAGCGAGTTATGAGTACCTACTTTAAGATGTACAAATAATTTACAATTTTAAAATACTCATATCTCGCTTTAAAATTATGTTCTTAAGATTTATGTTCTAGATTTTATAAGAGGTCAATTCACTATAATTTTTAAACTAACGGAGCTACTACAAGTGTTCTGCTGAGCGTAGAATTTTCTATGTTATGCACTTGTAAGACGAAGACAACACATGAGGGTATCATGTCCTTATAATCATATTAAGGCGTCTGATGCCAATGTAATTTTGTACTCAAAAATAAGCTCTACGGGATTAATGATCCTGTTCTGTAGAATCAACCTTATTTGAAATTTTTTTTTTAAACTAAAGGGTAATATTACTAATATTCTACAGGCCGCATCAAACTCCCTTTTTCAATATTGAATATTTTGATCTTAAACTTTATAATATGTCTTCAAAAATAATTGTATTAATATTTTAATAATCGCTTTATACAAATTATACCTATTATACCATTATTTAAAATAAAATAAGAAATGGAGTTTGATTAGCCTGTAGGAAGTCTTCTTCTATCAGATAAAAAAATAGTTAGGCATAATTGCACAAGGCCTGAGAATTATTCTCGAGAAGTCATTTTTTTTCAATATAATACACCCTATCACCCCCCCCCCCTAAATATGTATTATAATTAAGATGACAACTAAAATATTAAACTTAACTTTAAAATTTGGCACTGGCATGAATGGCACAGGGTCAGTGGTTAAAGTGGGAAAAATGTTGAGGGGGGACTACAGTCACCATAAATTGACGAGCATTCCCGAGTTCTTCCAAAGTCTTTATCTAACCAAACTTTTTTAAGAAACCCACTAGGTATAAATTGTTTCTTTCACACACCTTTGTTATTTGTTCATAAAAAGTTTATGTTAATAGTATGTAAAATCAAATTAATGAACATATAATGACTGCTAAATAAAAAATAAATTGAAATTCATTGCCTGAAATGTTAAAAAGATATGTTTACATTTTAATTTTAAAAATTTCATTAAAAAACAAATAAATATAACTAGGTACCTATTCATATTCTTTCAGTTAATTTATTTAAATTATTA